ACCTTGTATCAAAAAAATAAGGTGGAGAGTGAATGAGGAAGATGCCTGATGGTGACCTCTGGCCTCCACACACATAAACAGGTGCACACGTGCCCATACACACATGTATAGACACACAGACGGGGAGCCTTTTCACTCTGCCTGGTTTGCGAGCCAGTCTTCGGTGAAGCTAATTCCTCGCTATCCCAGGAGTCCTCTCTCTTAACAGTCTCAGCGACCCAGGGCCCTGAGATGCTGACAGAAGTCAAAGGGTTCCCTGGCAGGCTTGTTCTGGCGGTTGCCCAGCTGACTTGTGCTAACACAGCCAACAGACACAGGAAAGCGTCTAGAGAGTGGAAAAGCACCAGCGAGCCACTGGGGGAACAGAAGTAAGTCCTGCTATGCCCAGACAGGATAACCCTGCCCCAAGGCCACTTCATCACAGGGCTGGGGAAAGACCCAGGGAGGGGTGTGGACACACAAAAAGTTCCAGGCACATCCATTCAGTAATGTATTTCAGTGAACCTTGACCGTTGGGCCAATCAAAAGAGGGCCATATGTCTCCAAGGTGAATCAGCAAGCATGATTCACCACGAAAACCAGCCCATGCCTTGCTCATCCCGGCAACCCTGACCTGCATTTGGCCACATGCACAAAAGCCCTGCTACTCAGAAAAAACGTCACCGGCACAGTGGCAAAAGGGCAAGGAGCATCTTACCACCCCTCCAGCAGCCACAGACCTCAGCCAGCCCGTGAGAAAGAAGGGTCTAGCTGAGAATATTAATAGACTCACAGGAAGCAGACACCCAACAAGGGCATGCCCCAGGAAGTGAAATTACTTAAAAGAAAGACAAAGTGCAGACTGGAAGAAGAGAGACCTTGGATTTCCAAAGATAGGCCTTCATGGGCCAGGCACGGGTAGTTGGTGCACCCAGGGGGACAGGCTTATTCTAAAATATCTGAAAGTCTAAAACTGTCTATGAGAAAACCTTTTTGTTGTTTCTGTGGCTTTCTTTCCATCCTTCCATGTTTTACTCAGGCTGTATTTGGAATGCATGGATTTAGGCACTCGGGTTACTAAAAAAATGGTTTTGTTGGTTTTGTTTCCTTTGGTGTTGGGCGAGAGGGTTTTGCTTTGATTTTTGACTCAGGTGTCACTATGCAGTCAGGCTAGACTTAAGCTGGTTATGTGGCCAAAGCTTTTTATTCTCCTGCCTTGGCTTCCTAAGTGCTGCAAGTATAGCCGTTCCCTGCCACACCTGGCTCCAAAAGTGTTTTCATGGGAATCCAGAGCTGGGGTACAGTAAAGATGCATAGCCCTCAGACCTTATCGGGGAGGGAACTTTTTCCCTTCGTAGTGCTGACTGGAGCCTTTGGAGCACACCGACCTCACTCAGACACTAAGAGGGGCATTGTGCGAGGTCACAAACTGGCAGGCCTGATTTTATTGTTATATTGCAATTATATTTTTAAAGATTTATTTATTTATTATGTATATAATGTTCTGTCTGCATGTACACCTGCATACCAGAGAAGGGCACCATATGTCATTATAGATGGTTGTGAGCCACCATGTGGTTGTTGGGAATTGCACTCAGGACCTCTGGAAGAGCAGCCAGTGCTCTTAACCTCTGAGCCATCTCTCCAGCTCTCAATTATATTCTTATTTATTGCCAAGAGTGTACACACTTGCCACATTCTACATGTGGAAATCTGAGGACAATTCGTGGGTGTTGTTTCCCTCCTTCTACTACATTGGTTTCAGGGTCAAACTCAGGTTATCAGGCTTGATGGCAAGTGCTTTCCCCACTGAACCATCTTGCCAGCCCTCCCTTTTTTTGTTGTTGTGAAACAGCATCTCATGTACACCAAGCCTTGAACTTGCTATGTAGACGGTGGCCTTGAACTTTCTAATATATATTTCTTGCTATTTGTGTGTGCATAGTATGTACATGCCACAGCACCAACATAGGTAACTTAGTGGAGTTAGTTCTCTCTCTGTCCCCCTTTTTGAGTATTCCTGGGATTGAATTCAGGCCACCAAATTACTCACTGAGCAATCTCACTAGCCTGACCCTGAAATTCTGTCTGCCTCTACCTCCTAAGCGCTGGGATCACAGACATGCCCACCCCCCACATACCTAGTTTACATGATGCTGAAGTCAGAACCCAAGGCTTCATACACAGGTAGCCAAGCACTCTACCTGCCAAACTAAATGCCTAGCCTCCGATTTTCTTTAATGAGTCGCCAATATTTAGAAAACAGGTTCTATTGCTGGGTGTGGTGGTGCACACCTGTAATCCCAGCACTTAAGGAGGCCTGGTCTACAAAGCAAGTCCAGGACAGCCAAAGGCTACACAGAAACATCCTGTCAAAAAAAAAAAACACTAAAGAAAGAGGCAGACAGAAGGAAAAAGAAAGAAAACAGGAAAACGGTTCTACACACAGAATTAAGAAAAACTTCATTCTATTATAGAAAAGCCCCTGGGTGAGCGGAACAAATGGAAAACTGAATCTTTACTGCCCCCTATCGACAGGACTGTGGTTTCCAGTTTCCAGCCTGACCAGCCCAGTCACCTGACTGCCCCCTGCAGGCATCATTTTTGACTCAAGTTTAGCCTAGTGGAGCAGTCACAGGCATAGCAATATTCAGAACAGCCACAGAGTGGCAGCACGGAGCTATTAATGAGGAATACCACTGGTTTAGCCAAAGCTCAGCCTAGGTGATGCCTTCAGAACCAGTAATCTTCATCCTTACTTGGGTGGTGGTACACAGTTGCTCCCAACACACCCCTTCAGATCTGCTCAAACAATAGTGGCTCAGCTCAGCAATTCCCTTAGGCAGGGGGGAAGCTACTACTTGGATTTACTCTTTCAGGCCACCACTTGCCCTTCTCCAGACGATACCCATTCCATAGATGGCTTCTCCACCTGAAGCCATCCATCAGACCTCTGGGGGGACAGTTCTTGAGTTAAGCAAAGGAGGAACCTTCCTCATTTGAAGGCAGATTCATGCTTAATCAAATAAATGCTCACCATACTTTATTTGCTCACTTGAGCATCTTCCAGCCATCTTCTTCCAGCCCTCTGCTCTCATTCCCTTTACAACCTCCCCAGCAATATCCTGAGTGGCAACATAAACTACAGTCCTTTCGGAAAGATGTTTTGTATTATGCAAGGAGATCTGTTTCATCCAAGGTCATTTCCCCTTCCTACCATTGACTCCAAAATGCAGGGGAAACTTTATATAAGACAGTCATTGTGGCCAAGCATGGTGGCACTAGCCTTTAATCCCAGCACTCAGGGAAGCAGAGGCAGGCTGATCGCTTTGAGTTTGAGGCCAGCCTGGTCTACAAAACTAGTCCAGAACAACCAAAGCTACACAGAGAAACCCTGTCTCAAACAAACAAAAACAAGACAGTCATTGCAGTATTTAAACTCCTGAAGAACAATACCTACCATCCAGCAAGAGAGACACTTTAGAATCAGCTTTTGCTATAGCTTCACTTGATGGGTACATAATTGAGTAGCTACTAAAAACAGTGATGAAAGGGGACCTGAGAGATGGCTCAGTGGTTAAGAACCATCTCTTCCAGAGAACCTGAGTTCAGTACTCAGCACCCAGAATCAGGTGGCTCACAATCACCTGTGATCCTAACCCCAGGGAATCTGATACCCTCTTCTATCCTCAGTGTGTACCAGCACAGAGTACACACAACACAAACACACACACAATATTAATTAATTACTTTAATTAATTAAAGTACTAGAGAGACTGGAGAGATGACTCAGTGGTTAAGAGCACTGGCTGGTCTTCCAAAGGACCCAGGTTCAATACCCAGCACCCACATGGCAGCTCACAACTGTGTGAGACTCCAGTTCCAGGGTTTCTTACACCCTTACACAGACACTCATGCAGACAAAAAAAAAAAAAAAAAAAAAAAAAAAACACTGAACATAAAATAAAAATAATAATGCTTTTTTTTTCTAAAGTATTAGAAACATTGGCTGGACAGATGGCTCTGTGGTTAAGAGCACTGGCTGCTCTCCCAGAACACCTGAGTTTGATTCCTGGCACCCACACAACAGCTCACAACCGTTTATAACTCCAGTTCTAAGGGATCTGATACCCTCTTCTGGCCTCTATGGACATCAAGCGTGCACATGGTATAGACTTACACATATCCAAAACACCACACACACACACACACACACGTATAAAATGAAACGTTTTTAAAGTATTAGAAACAAGCAAGCAATGATGGACTTCATCTTGGCAGCACAAGCCTATAATCTCAGCTTCTCATGGGGCTGAGGCAGAGGACCAAGAAGTCAAGAACATCCTGGAAGCCTAGCAGGCCTCATAACAGAAAACTGAAAAAAGGAGGAGGACTGGGAATGTAGCCCAGTGGCTGTCTAATGTGTGAGGCTCTGGGTTCCACCTCAGCAACCTCCACTACCCAAAACAATGCCAACCACCATACGGTAAGATGAAAATGTATAGCTATGGAACTCTTTTAAACCTATACAGAAAGCTATGTGGGGTGGCACATATCTTCCAGCTCAATTACTGAGTGGCAGATTCGGGAAGATTTCTGTGAATTTGAGGCCAGCCTGGTCTACATGAAGTTCTAGACTAGCCATAGTGCCTCTATTTCAAAACAAAGCAAAATTTAAAAACCCGCAGAGACGTTAGTGAAAACAACAAAATGTTGCCGACAGCTGCACTGGAGCATTGGGAGTGAGGGTGACCTTTCTTTGTTCCTGCTTTTCTCATTCACTTTCTCTAATGTTCAGATATCTCTCAGTGTGAGCACTGCCAATGTAGGCTCCTGGGATGCTGCAGCCTTGTGCAATCACGATAAAGGGACTCCTGGGAACTTGTGCCTCCGGGAGTCTCGGCTAGCACTCAGTAAAACACAGCGTCCAGCTGGGCTCACAGTCTTGGCATGTCATACCCAAGTGCCTGCGCTGATTCCTAAGAGAACCCAGAACTATCCAGAAAACAGAACCCCATCAATATGTCTCAGGTGCCACTTTAATTGAGGCTCTCACTGCACAGTGAGGAAGAGTGGAAGACAGTGATTATTTCCAGGCATATACCCCTGCACCCCACAGTAAACAGCCTGAGCGTCCCACAACAGAAACATGCTTTTTTTTCCCCCCTGAGAATCCCATTCCTGAGCCAATAATGTGCAAAGAAAACAAGAAAAATTCATCAAGGGAGAAGGGAGATTTCCGAATTCTTTCCAGTGCAAAAATTAGAACTATACATGGAGGTGGCCCTCCTAATGGCAACAACAAACCCCAGCTATTTCCAGTTGAGGCCAAGTCCCTCCCCAGGGAGCCTGAGACCAGTGTTCACTCCCCAGGGCTCCTCCCTGTGGTACTCCCAAGAAAGAGCAGAAGCCCACACAGTCATGAAGAGCGCCTGGTCAACAGTCTTCCTCTTTGCTGGTCCCTACTGCTGCAGCTGTACAGCCATCAAGGACCAGCTGGTATGTGTGAGGCTGTGGGGGCAGGAGGGGCCGGGGTGAGCAGCAAAGCTGGGTCAACATGGTGGCAGGGCATGTCACAGCCCTGTGCACCACAGGGACCTGGACCCTCCATTAATTCTTCTCCGGACGGTTTCTGTTCAGGACTGCTTTAGGGGCAAATTCCAGCTTGTCCTTCAGGCTCACCACCTGAGTGTGGTCCTTGCCTAGCAGCTCATCCAGCTTTCGGTCCTCTCGGCGCTCCAAGATGCTCTTTTCCTCCTCCACAGGCTGAGGATCCTTTCCTCTGATGAACCATTCCAAGTGGTAGCCCACAGCCCCGACCACAAAGGCCACAGGAAAGGTGACATAGGGGGCATAGGTACGCACCACGGTCCAAAACACAGGCCACATGACATCTGCAGAATACAGAGGGTGTTAGGGAGAAGCGAGCATCCCCTCCCCCAGCAAACATGGACAGCCTGTGGGATGTTCTACTCTGCAGGCCGCCTGGCACTAATAACTGAGTGGCCACCCCACAGAGCGGCAAGCGGACACTGCGCTTTGTGCAACAGTTTCGTTCCTGAAATAACGTAGGAAGTTGTGAAGGAATGGACTGTTAGGAAGGGGGTAACAGCTCATGAACGATGTGCCCCTGTGAGCAGACACTTCTCACAAGAAGCCTCCAAGCCTCCCCTAAGGGAGCCTCAAACCTGTCAGCATTTCAGGAAGGGAAAAGAAGCCTTTTCTCTGCTCTATGAAACTTCACACGCACACAGCCGCACTCTGGTTCTGGCTCTTTGATGATAAGCAGTTCCTTTTCCTTGGGTAAAGGGGCTTATTTAAACAGCCAAAAACTATGATCTATTACCTAACCGTTCTGGACTAGAGATCAGTAAGAGCTTTAAGATATGTGCGCTTGGCTTTCCTAACAATGGCACTAACCTAGTGTTAACGAATCCTGGTTAAACTACCTTCAAAATATACCACCTGCAACCACACCCACGTCCTCATGCTTGCACAGCAAAACCCTGAAAAACACCACAAATGAATACAGTACTCCACATGCCCTAGAACCCTAACACTTGAAAAGTCCCAGCAGAAAACGCTGTAAAATAAAAATAACAAAAACTGTGGAGCTGCCCCTAGGGCCTCCTGCAATGAAATGCCAAAGTAATATACAAACCCACACTCAAATAGCCACTTAGGCACAAATGATTACCACTATTAAATTACTATTTATACCATTATTTAATTACTGATACAATCATAAAAGGCCATTGACAATGAACATAATAATGCTAGCTACCATCTACTGAGTGCTTATTTCAAGCTGGGCCTTGGGGTAAACACTTTCTTTCTCTCTCTCTCTCTCTCTCTCACACACACACACACACACGATCTCTAATCCTCATATTCACTCCTTAGTCATCTGCATTAAGTCATTTGCCTATGTTTTATGCTCTCATAATTATTTCTCTAACCCTGCTCTCTCTCTGCTCTAGGTGAGACAGCCAACCCTCATGGAGGATTAGAAGGCTCTCCCTTTCTCCCTTTGGTTCTAATTCTCTTAGGAGGAACTGCAGTGTCTTGTGGGCCTGAGACTGGAGAACAGCAGCAGATTCAAGTTTCTCTTCCTGGTCCTTTGACCTGACACCAGACCCTATGCCCTACAGTATCTCCCTAGTAGTTACCTGACCCTCATAATACCTCAATGATGTAGGAATTACTTGCCCAGAATCTTGTCTAAGGACACAGTGGCTCAAAGACACTAGGTCAGCTTGCTACAATCACTACAAGTGGCAGGCCCACTGGTTTTGAGGTCAGGCCTGCGCTTTTTCTAGCAGGAACACTGCGGATGTGTGCATGGTATCTGTTCAACCTTGGATGTAGGGAGTGCCTCCTGCTGCTCATTAGCTTAGCTTTTCATTATATTGAAAGACTTCCTTTCTTGTGTGCTCTAAAGTTATACCAAGAGATCTGTGAAATCCTAAGATACACACATTAGCATAGAGGGACACCCTTAAGGACCCCAAATTCAATACTTCTCCATTCTACTTTCTGTCTTAAGTTTTTGGCTTTTTTGTTGGTTGGTTTTGGTCTTTTGAGACAGGGTTTCTCAGTGTAGTCTTGGATGTCCTGGAACTAACTGTGTAGACCAGGCTGGCCTCAAACTCCTAGGCACCCCACCCTGCCTCTGCCTCCCTAGTGCTGGGATTAAAAGCATGCACCAGCACCACTGCTGCTGGGCTTGTTTTTGCTTATTTTTAAGACAGGTTTTCATGTCCCTTAATGTAGTTGAGGATGACTTTGAACTGCTGGCCCTCCTCTTTTCTCTCTCTTCCTCCGTGCTCGTGATTAAAGGTGCACACTGGGTGCAAGTTCTTTATACTATTCCTGAATAGTGACTCTCGACTCAACTTTCCCATTTGTCTTAAAGAATATCAAGCACCAATCTACAACTATTATTCTCATATATAAAGCGCAAGTACTATGCGGTCCCGTCCATACTCCAGTCGTCCATGTATCCAGTACAATCATCTTCTCTGTGGCAGGCGCTGGGTGGGGCTTACCCTACTTGTCTACAGCTCTCAAAACACCTTGAAGCTCCAAAAGGCTAAGAACCCAGAATGTCTGGATCGTCCTATGCTCTATGCCTCTTCCCACCCCTGCTAGTCTCCCTGGCAAAGAGCTACAAACAATGTTTGTTGATCGAATAAACGACAGGCAGGATAGACAAATCGATAATGTAAGACTACAGCCGTCTTCCACCCACACTCAGAGGGGCAGAAATGCGATCACATGTAGCTAGACTTCATGAAATCTTCCCTAGGGTATCAAGGCGTCAGTAGCAGAAGTGTATCGCAAATACTGCGACGCCTATTTCCAGCCATGCATGCAGGGAAGCCTGCCAAAGGGTCCAGGTACAGAGAGATCAAGTGGGCAGCCCGGAAACCTGTCCTTGTGCCCGGGCCCACCGGAAGCTACACTCCAAATTCGAGCTGTCATAAGAGGTCCGAGAAGGTGAAACAATCAGCCTCGACAGCTACTTCAGGTAAGTTTGGGGGTGGGAGCGCCAGTGAGGTCAGGGTCATCAGCGGCACGCCACACGTGTGGCCTCGTCACCCTTCCAGCCTGCGGATGCTGAGACGGACAAGTTCTGACCGCAGCCCACACTCGGCCACCGAGAGACGGCCGGGGCCGGGACGGTCAGGGAGACCATCGCTCCCTCGACTAGGACGGCACGGCCAGGGGGCCGTCTCCATGGAACCCAGGGCCAGCGAGCCTGGAAAGCGAAGCGCCCTCGGCCCTAGGAACTCACCTGCGGCCCAGCCCGCACACCCCAGACCAGCCCCGTGCTGCGCCCGCTACCCGGGAGCAACACCGACGTCGCAGCTCCCAGTGGCCCGTGGGGCGTCGCCCGAGGCCCCGCCCACCGGCGTCCGAAGAGCAGTGATTGGCTGAGCTCCGACCAAACGACAAGAGGAAGGAAGCCAAGCGCCCGCCTCTCTGTTGGGATGAACGGATATGAGTATAGCGCCCCCTGGAGTCTCGGAGGCTCCCCTGTGTCTTTGCCACATGTTTGTGGATAAAGTCGTGCATTCATTGATCCAATTGAAGTTCATTAGGCATCTTCTGAGACCTAGGTCCGGTGTTACCGAAACGGAAAACCCAACCACTGACCTCCAAAAGCTCCCTTAGCAGGGGACAAACCTCTTCCGACCGGGCTGTGGTGGCACACGCCTTTAATCTCAGCACTCAGGAGGCAGAGACAAGGGCATCTCTGAGTGATCCAAAAAACAAACCAAAGCAAAAAAGACCTCTTTGGATCTGTGCTTTCAGGCCGTGTGTCCTTGGGAACATTATTCTGTCTGAGCCTCATTTCTTCTGCATAGCGTCAACACCACCCGTTTTCTCAGAGATGTTGTGAGGGTTTGGTAATAACACGTATGTTAAGTACTGTGTCTGGCACACGGCAAGCAGGCAAATAGACGGTAGCTAAGAAGAGTCTACAAACAGCTGAAAGATAGCGAAGACAAGACCCTGTGATACAAGAACCCACTCTCCTGCATGTTTCTACTGTCCCTGAACAGGCATAAATTTACCACATACAGGAAAAAGCCTCATGCCCAAGCTCTGTAAGGCCCCAACATGGTCCTGCTTTCCCAGTCTCCCCACACTGACCCTGATCAGTCTCATTTCCATTAATAACAAATACTAAAAATCAACTTTCTAAGCCTGTGCCTTTCCACGTTCTTGACAAGTGAGCTGTGAGTCATTTTTCAAGGTCATGAGTCTTTTTATGAGAAGCGTCTACTGCATTATCAAGTAAGAGATTCTTCCTATTTTATACCAAAGAGTCCAAACTAAGCCTAAGAGTGAAGGTGAGGAGAAAGAAGCTGCCAGAAACTAGCAACCACAATTAGCAGAGCTTCATTGTTTGTGTATTGAATACGTAGAGAAGAGAGTCAGAATATCTAGAACAAAGGCTGGCATGTAGTCAGCCATTCTACATGCTATCAATTGGAGATACAGCCGGGGATTACCCTCAGGAGATTTCTGGCTGACGAGAAAGTAGGTAGGCTAATGTTGGCAGTCTGAGAAATGTCCTAACAGAGGACACAATCAGCACACATAAGAAGAGTCAGTGGAGGTTCCCTGGAAGGACAGGTCCTTAAACTGTATCTAAGTGATGACTAGAAACTGCCGACAGCTGAACTGAGCAGGCGCAGCAGCCCAACTTACAATGAAATGACAGTGACTGAGAGCTCTTAAGACCAACCTTGGCTATACACCAAGATTCTATGTCAACTGAGCGAGGGGGAAGCTGGGCACAGCGGCGCACGCCTCTAACCTCAGCACTCCAGAGGTAGAGGCAGGTGGAATTCTGTGAGTTTGAAGCCATCCTTGTCTTACCATTCACAGACTTACCACTTGCTGATCAGGCAGAACTACGTGTTGAGACCCTATCTTTTTTTTTTTTTTTTTTTAACATACCAAACTTTGAAATTATTCGAGGTTTCACATCTTGACTCTATGGCCTGCTAATCTGATAAAACATATTTCTAACCTTTTATAAAAAACATTTTAATTATGAGTATGTGTTTGTGGAGAGTGCGCATGAGTGCCAGCACCTGTGAGGATCAGAAGAGGGTGTCAGATCCCCTGGAGCTGAAGTTGCAGGAAGTTCTGAGCTGTCAGACATGGGCACTGGGAACCAAACTTGGATCATCTGCAAGAGTGGTGTGTTCTCTTAACCACTGAGCCATCTCTACAGCCTTACTTGCAATAATAATAATAATAATAATAATAATAATAATAATAATAAAAGATACCCCTAGGGCCAGCCAAATGGCTCAGCAGTTAAAGGTATTTTCCACCAAGCTGATGGCTTGAGTTTCATTCTCAGGATCCTCACGGTAGAAGAAGAAAATCAAGTTGTTTCTGACCTCCTCACCAGGGTGTGGAATATAACCACCCATCCACTCCTGCACACAAATAAATAATAAAATGTTAAGACATCCTCTAGGGTTGCTGTTTTAAGCCATCTTAATGTGCAGAAAGAGCTTGCCAGAGTTCTTGGCATCCGCTCAGTGAGTGTTTGATAATAATGCTTCTTGACACATTAAGTATTTCCCAGATTCCTGCTTCTTTCTGCAATTTTCATTCCAGGCATCACTTATTCATTAACAGAAAAAAAAAAAATCTGACTAAAATCTTCAAGTTAGTTCATCTCATCACTCCCCAGATCCAGCCTACGGCACCTGATTCCCAACTGCCCCTCAAAATGAGCACCATTCCCTTTCACCAACTATCATTAGCAGCTCCCCACCCAAGCACAGCCCCTCCACTCTATGTCCATTCCTCTGGCCAAAGGACCCTTCAAAAGCTTAAGTAATACAATGGACTCTCCAGTTTAGCCTGCCGATCCCTTCCGGCCATGCCACCCAACCCTGTGCTGATCACTCATCTTGCTCTAGCTTGGTTTTCCAGCCATTCCCAACACAGCCATCCTTCCAAGCCTCAGCCAGGACTGCTCCCTTGGCTGGAAGTGAGTGTCCTCCCTCCCTCCTGTTTCTCCTAAGCAAGCGAGACAGTTCACATGGCTTTCCCAAACTCCCTGTGTCACAGATGTCCCATCCCTGGTGGAAAATAAACTGGAATCTACTTACCATTGTAACCATGCAAAGAGGTTGGAGCCTATTTAAAAAGTGATTAGGCCACAGGACTCCAAATCTATGGGTGAGTTTGCAAAGGGGTGTTTGTCTCCCTCACTTCCTTTCCTTCCTCTTGCTTTCCAACACGGGATGGTGAAGAAGGCCCTCACCACCAGATGCCGGGTAGTGCGTTGTTTGTTCTGAGAACAGGTGGGTCTCACGCAATCTACACTGGCTTTGAACTTCTGATCCTCCAGCATCCAGCTGGGATAACAGGTGTGTGCTGCTATCTTTTTGTGTTTATCGGTTCTTTTGAGGCAGCCAAGTTTTGTTGTTGTTTAACTCTATTTAAAAGTATGAGTGTTGGTGGTATAGTGGTGAGCATAGCTGCCTTCCAAGCTAGTTGACCCAGGTTCGATTCCTGGCCAACGCAGACGTGCATAACTTGGATTCAAAGTGAATAATTAATTAATATTAATTAATAAAAACAAAATTTTATTAATTAATAAAAACTTTTTTTTAAGTATTGAGTGTTTTGCATACACATATGTCCATGCACTGCAAGCATGCCTGGTGGCCAGGGAGGCCAGTAGAGGGCTTCAGACCTCCTGGAACCAGATTTACAGACAGCCATGAGCTGCCAGGTAAGTGCTGGGAATCGAATCCCCGTCCTCTGCAAGAGCAACAAGTGTCCTTAACAACTGCACCGTCTCTCTAGCCCTACCAGTTACCTACTGTTGAGATGGGATCTTGACCACCAGGCTGGTTCTGACCGAGGCTCTAGTGGTCCACCTGTCCAGACTCCCAAGCAGGCGGACTTATAGGTACACGCTATTCTGCCCGGCTTTAGGCATTTTGTTTTCGTGTTTTCCATTTTGCCTTTGTTGTTTCACTTTGTTTAAGACAGTCTCGCTGAGCAAGGTGGCATTTCTCCCCACTGCTTGGGAGGCAGGGATGGGTGGAATCACTGTATGTTCAAGGTCACCCTGGTCTACATAGTAAGGCCCTGTCTTTAAAAAAAATAATAATTTCATGTTTCAGAATAGCTTCAGATTCACTGTATAACTACAAATGATCTCAATCATCTGGTCCTCCTGCCTCTGCTTCCCACGTGCTGAGATTATAGGCATGTGACATCACACCTAGCTTTTTGACCATCTAGGAAGAAGACCTCCCAGCCTCCAGAACCACGTTCTTTGTAAGGTACCCAGAAGCAGCATTCTGCTACAGCCGTGTCACTCACTCACCCAGCTCCTCGGCAAGCAGGTCTCTCCTCAGACTATATAGCTCTCTGCTCCTGGCCCTGACTGCTATCAGGCGGACAGCCGCTCATACACAAGGACCTTGTCTCCTCTTTTGCATAATTCTGGGCACAGAATAACTACCTAGGCCACGGGACCAACACCAAGAGACCACCCCACATTCTCAACCTCTGAAAATATCTTACTTATTTTGGTAGTTTTGAGGCAGGGTTTCTCTGCAGCCCTATCTGTCCTGCAGCTTGCCTAGGAGACCAAGCTGGCCTCAAACTCATAGAGATCTGTCTGCCTCTTCCTCCCAAATGCTGAGACTAAAGATTTGTGTTGCTATGCCTGGCTCCTGGTGAAATTTGAAGCAGATGCTCACAGCAAGATGACCAAACCTACTGGTATTGCCATGTTTCCTTGTGTTTCCTCCCATCTACACATGATTTCAGGAAACACAGCCCTGTTTCTGAGAAAGAACACAGATCCCTCTGAACACTGTAACTTAGTCCAAGTACAACGCAGGCTCCGAGTCTTCTTAGCTTCAGGATTAGGGGAGGGGGGGGATTTACGCTCTTCCGGTCTCCAAGTTGGAGATACCTGCCACACAGTATTATTCTGATCACTGAAAACGCACTCACATCCAAACCTCAGGGGGGAAAAAATCTCATCTGGAAAGCCAATATAAAATAGATGTGTGTACGTGTAGGCGTGCGCGCGCACACACACACACACACACACACACACACACACACACATGCACGCACGCATGTAAAAGAACAGGGCTCAGGGCTCCTCCCATGGTGCCTAACAGTGACAAACATCTGCTGAAAAAATGAGTAAGAATCGGCTGGTCCAGCGTGGCACAAAACAACCGCCGACACCATGGCAGCTTTTCCTTCCTACTCAGGGTGAGCATCAACCCCAAGAGGATGATAACGGAGGCTTCTGGGGGTGAGGGGAGCTGCTGTCAACTTCCTTCTGAATTGGGAACACCGCAGATCTATAAGTGCCATGCGCTGACATCATACCCGGT